GGTCAGAGAAAAGATTTGACCTATTAGTCTCACCTCCACCAGTGACCAACAGTGGACACCTAGGAAGCAGCATAAGGAGGAGACAGCCATGGAGAGATGTTTCACAGGTAACTCTCCCACACTCCAGAAATCTCCAGTTTATGAACCTCCAGAACTAAAGGAAGGATGTGGGAGCATGTGTATGTGTATGCATGCCCATTGAGGGAAATGGCTGATGCCTCTCCAGACACACATTTCCATGCTCTCTTTTCCTCTTTAAACAGACTTTTGTGTCAAGGAGTGAGAAAGGTGTCCTTTTCGGGGCGTGGAGTGGCGCTTGGGCACTCCACAACTTTTTACAGACTAAAGCCTGTTAAACGGAAGCATGGGATTCACGGGGCCTGGTCTGCATAAGCAGGTAGTTCTCTATTTCCCTCTGGGCCTCCAAAGAGAATCGGCCTGTGGGATGGAAAGGCAAGGAGATAATTGTTTCTGGAGTAAGCAGGAAGGAGATGTAGTTTTTTTCCTCTTTTATCCTAAAAAAACTGCCTAATGACATTTCTCTGCTCACCCTCCATGTGCTTTGCATGTCCCTGAATCACAGATAGGGTTGAAGGGCTGGATATGGGGAGGGAAATTCAGTGAAGACAAAACAGACTTAACCTCAAAGAAAGTTGAGAAGAGCAAGGACTGAAAGAGCAGCCAGGGGTAACTCTGATGTACAAAAATACATTTATTTTCAACAATTTCAAAACCACTGCCTTTTTTACAGTAGAAATATTCAAATGGAACAATAAAACCAAGAACAGTATATATATATGTATATATATGACTCATGCATTTGTATTACTGTGTTTAATACAGGTATTGCAATTGTCTGCCTCATTTAATCCTTTAAAACCATGGTGATGGTTTGGGTTTAATGCACCATCCAACATCATCGGAAGGGGTGTGAGTTTGGTTTGTTTGTGAGTTCTGGTTTGGTTTGTCAGACTTGGAACGTGTGTGGGAACTGACTGAAGGGAAAGGGAGGAGAACAGGAAATCTCTGCACATTCCTGAAACCAAAGCTTAGCCCAGAAGATAATGCACACCCTTGTGCACATGCTGTTACTGGTGGCAACTCTAACTGAAAAACGCTGCTGTCCCCAGTCACCCCAGCCTCATCTCTGATCCTTCCAGGCTTATTGTTGGGGCTCTCAAGCACAGGTTAAACTAAGTAGAGGATCTGTTGGGTGTTTACATCAGATTGACAGCCATACAGAGCTAAAAGCTGCATCTATTCTCCAGGTCTCGTGCATTATTCCTAAATTACAGCTAATACAGCAGAATCCATCATAGAGGAAAGGTTGGCAGTTGATAGAGGGCAATAACCCAGTCTCTTGCTTTCTCTTTCTCTCTTTCTTTCCCCTTTTTATACACAACTACAGTGTGGGAGCTACTTATGTTCTACTCATGACACTGGCTCGTTCCCTCCTTACTCAGGTAAATAGTCACCTACAGCTTCAAGGATTACCATTACATTTCCCTCAGAGGTAAAACTTGCAGGGGGGAAAAACCCCAATGACATCTCCCCAAGTTGTTATTTCCCAACATGAAATGCATAAATAAAAGTGGCCAATACTCCAGACTGTGCCAACACAGCAGCTCAGTACGTTCCAAAAAACATGGATAGTGCTGACCCCCCAATCCAAACCTTACAGAGGTCCAATGGATAGATACAGCCCTGGGTATCCCACTGGCACACAGTAGTTACCCTTCTAGGATCCTAACGGAGCAGTCTGCAGTCATGAACACAAGCTTTTTTCAGCTGCCAGCAGCCATGGCTGTGCCCTAATGCAGGAGGTATGATCTGGCAAATCCCATGTACATCCTAGGGAGCACCTTCCAAATGTACGCGGAGCACACTCCGGTCCAGACAGCAGTGTGACCAACTACCCTGAGAGGTAGCGATACCCACCGAGTCTCACAGACGATGAAGTTTGAGCCAAATCAAGAATCAGTGAGGTTTTTTGACATTTAATTTTGGCTCCCTGGATTTTGTTTGTTTGCTTTGTAGTACCTTTAGGATAATTTTGGATTGAAAATGGCTTTCTGGACAGATGTTTCTCCAAAAATTAACTGTATTATTCAGAAACGTCTCAGCCTTCATTGAGATTAAATTTCTGTTTGAGAAGTGAAAACATTTCCATTTTTTTCAGCAACTTACTCCCAATTTTTCCTCTTGTTTCCTCCCATCTGTTATGAGATATTTAATAACCATCTTTAAGAGTGTAAAGGGAAAAATTGTAAGAAATTGTGAAAAGAAATTGTCAAAACTGTAATCCCCTGCCTTTCTTTTTAAATCAACATGACATCAATCACATGAAAAAACTAGAAAACTCTAAACAACAACGAGCATTTCCATTTTGTTTCCTGGTTTATAAAAGAAAAAGTTAATACGGAAAATATACACATTCAGTCCTCTGCAGCAGTTCACAAGAGCAGTCCCTCAAATCCTAATGAACAGCAAAGACTGAGATCAGCCTGCAATTTAGCTCAAGGCCCACAGGACCATTGTTTACGTACATCCCTCCCTTCTATATCTAAATGGGACGCTATGGCCTTGTGCTAACGGTGTTATCACCAGACGGAGCCATTACTGTAAACTACTTTGGTGTTTCAGTGGAACACAGACAGTAATGCAACAGTTTATGCACATGTGATGGATGAAGACTCAAGGTTAAATTGAATAACACAGCCATCATTCTCCAGCTTATATTAGGAACTAGAGCACAAAAGTGAGGGAGGAAACAGAAAGGAATTACTTCTAAATCGACAGAAAAGGCCCACAAGTCTGACTGAAATGGAGAAGTAGAATAATTGAGAATATTTTGCTTTAGTGCTTCACACAAAACAATATTCACCTGCATTTTGGGTTTACAATTTTAATCTTGAAATACCTCCTGTGTTTTCTCTGCAAAATATGTTTAACCACTTTTCTCTCCACCTGCAGACCCATCAGGATTATAACCTTTGAAAGGCATTCCAGCCTATTAACAGAGTGAACACATGTAGCTGAGGCTGTTTTGTAGCCAAATGGCATGTTGCAATGTAGAAAGGTAGCAAGTAACACCTGAATTCTAGCCATCTCCTCATTTCAGTCCAGATATATTAAAGGCAATGTGGATTCCTGTATCCAGATCCTAAAAAAACATAACAAATATTGTCACCTAGCCTCATTTCTGCCTCCAGTTACCCACACAAGCACTAGAATGTCTTCCCAAACGTGCCTCCAATCTTCCTTGTACTGCTGCTGGGTCTTATAACTCAATACTCTGCAGAACAAGGTCCATTTTTAACATCAACAGCTCAAGAAAAATGGATAAAAGTAACCCACCAATAAGTCAATCCCCTGCCCCCAAAATTCCACCATTCCTAGGGCCTATCCTCAACTCGGTGTGCTAGGAGATTCCTAACGAGCTTTTTCACTACCTTTTCTTTATTAATCTCCCTGTTCTAATCAGAAAGCACAAACCCACCATGCAGAAATTACTCTGATGCATTTTCACCCAAAATTGGAAGCAGCCATTCTGCAGCACTCATAAGAAAGACCTTTCCTAGCTCAGTTATGCAGGTCTGACCCTGCATCTCCCTCTCCAAAGAGCACTGTCTAATCACACGCATCATGTTCAGCCAAAATTTACTACTCTTACACATCCTGAATAGCACTTTACTTCACCAACTTAACTGCTAAAAGCATCACTTCTCACTGGGAATAAAGCTACTGCAACCTGGCCCACTGTTGAGTTGAGGTTGTACTGGGTACTGCAAGTACACTGATACTTGCCCACGCTGAGGTGGTGATAATTTCGCATCTGTTTTCCTCGTTTTCCCTTATGGATGTCACCAAGATCCTTCTCAGAAGCGGACAACAGTGACAGAGTTGAATAGATGAAGATCATTAAAATATTCGTGACAGGCTCACCGTCTGTCCTGCTAATACCTTTTTCTGCTCCATCACAGGAAATGGTACTATGTATACATGAAAAAAGGCTTGCAGTTATACACAGAGAAATAAACTATGCTGTTTATAGACAGCAGTGTCAGATTGAAATATGACAGACAACTGGAACACACTTGGAACCAAAGCGTGACTCAAGTGCTCACCAGCCCTGGTTGGCTGGTGTGTATGAGCGCGCGCACGTGTGTGTGCGCACGCGCGTGCGTGCATGTGTGTATGTGGTTCAGGTTTTGTTTTAAACATATCTTCTTTTACTAAACATTAAATTATTTCCCAAGAAATAAAAAGCTATGTACACTGTAATTATCTACAGTAGGCCTTCGGCATCTTCGCTATTCACATGCACAGGGTTTGGGCTGCATTCATAAACTCAGGCATGCTCCTTCATTGCTCGTGGTGCTGTCCCCTCCAGCCAGTCTACAGTCCAAGGAACACTGACGTGTGTGTTTGCTCCGATTTTTTTTTCCCCCCCTTTCTCAGCAGTCAACAGTGCCAGAGGGTGACTGAAATGAAAAGCAATTAAGAGGCAAGATCCTGCAAAAATCTGAGACATGCATGTCATTGGAAAGTGAGGGCTGTTGGCATGTTGCAGAGCCTGGTCCAACAAGCCAGCCTGAGCCCTCTGGCAGGATGAAGTAGCTGATTCATTACTTGTTTTGAAAAGGGCTGAAAAGGGTTAATTTACCTACAACATGTTGCCTAAGGTACTATACCTACCTGTTGAATTGGAGTACTTAATTCCCATTCTTTATTTAACAGGAGGCTGGCATTCAAATCCCATTGCACACTTGACTTATTCTTTGCTTTTTCTTTCTAATCTGACGAGTATTTCCTAAATATGAAGAAGCCCTGCTGTTTATGAATGCAGCCCTGGTAAACAGAAAAAGCCCACCCCATCCCCTCTCAAATGATAATAATGACATAGAACTCTTTTTTTTTCATAATAATAATAATAATTATAACAATAATAATTACAAATAAAAAGTCAGAAATGTTGTAGACCAAGTGGATTCTCAGTATTAAACACTAGTGCAGTTGGGGATTTCCTTTGTGCTTTCACTGTTGGCAATTGTTGAGATGCTTCCTGTGGAGGAGAAAATGGAGAACAGAGTCAGTGCAGTGGCTTCAACAGTTTGGTCTATAAGTACATCCTACTTCTTAGGATGTACTTGTGTAAGTGGAAAGACAGAAAACGTTCTTAAAAGTAACACACCCTTTTTTGTATTTGCAATAGGCATAGAGCATGTAGAAAGCCTGTTACTACATCTCAGTTGACCAGTGGTAAACTCATTAAGTTATTAGTGACATATTCACTAGTAATGATAACACACCAACAGCGTAAGCTTGGCTGAGCTGATTCTTCTGAGGGTTCAGGGAATTTTGGGCCCCTCCAGAGAGGAGACAGGGTCATGAGCAGGCATAGGTGTGAGCCACAGCCATTACTAACTCCTATATACCTACTGCTGTTTCCAGGTTCCTACCCTGGTCACATAACACTGTGAGAAAAGCTGAAAAACTGTAAGAAAAACGCCCTGTTACCATGTTTCAGAGAGAGACTTTTTTGCCTGAGTGCCTCAGGCCCTGCTTGCACCTGGGGTCACAGCTGCTGCCTCTCCTAAAACCCCAATGACCAACATCCTCACCCAGACCGTGAAACAAGCTCCAGCTGAGGGCTGTCTCTCACCCATCACTCGCGTGTCCAGCTCTTTGTCCATCAGCTCCTCAGGGTCTGTGAACTCACTCAGAGTGATTTTGGGGGCATTTTCACTTTGGCTGACAGAGCCAATCATTTCCTGCTCCTTGTCATGCTGAACTTGGGCATAGATGTTAATCCAAGGGATTTTCCTGCAAAGGAAAGGAAAACGAGAAGTTATATTTTGTGACACAGGGATCCTTGAAATGTCATTGATTAATCAGACCAATTAAACTGAGACCAATCCCACAAATGCAGCACTGGCAGTGATGCAAAGTATCAGCTCTCAGAATGGTGGAAGCACCACAGCGATGCTCAGCTCTGAAAGTGCCGTTAGCATGCACTAATTCCAACACCAGTTTAAGCTACTCCAAATCTCAGGCCACTGCCTTCCTATCCTGTGCCCAAACGCTCCTCCAGCCTAATGTAAACCTAAATGTTCTGGTCCTGCCCTTTTAAATGAGAAGTTGTGCACACAGTGGACACTGTGCATCCAGCTCAGAGAACAGCGATCAACTACGTACAATTAGTTGCAGTTGCCAACTCTCTCAGTATTTATTACATGGTCAGAGCTGCATTGGAAACCAAAAGTAAAAATCAATTTGAACACTATCATCCGCTGAGAAAAGAATTGCTAGTCTTGATTCTATTGACAGGCCCACACTGACTCAGTAGACATCACCACATCAGAAAAAGTTATAAAGAATTGGTCCTGCCTCAGAATACAGAAAGGACTTGGACCTCATAACACCCACCCAAAGTCTATTTGTTACCATTTCATTGCAAAAAAAGTTTGCCATGCTACAGACCATACAAGTTTGCAGGGACTTATTTTCCCTTGCTGCTCAGGCAGACAAGAAAGTGAAGGGATTATTTCTTCCAAGAGAAGTTAACATGGGCTGCTAGGACGATATCCTTGAAAATCAGTTAGTTAGGCAGATAGTTAGATAGTAATCCCTGGAGAAATGCAAGTTTAAAATGAGAGAACTGAGAAGTAACTTGTTAAGCATTGTGTAACATGTGGAAGTAACATCATGAAGGTAGAATTATCAGTGTGTAGTTGCCTGTTGGAAGGTGACTGTTTTTTCCTAATGTCCTTAAAAGGACTCTGTGCCATGCAGTCCACACTGCTAAAATAAGGAAAATTCAGAGGTTATTTTTAGTTCCTTAAAGCAGAGGAGAGAGAAAGAATGTGTGTTCAAAGAAGGCTATATAAAATGCCATCTCTTTATGCTAACCTGTCTGCTGTTGGATATGTCAGAGATTTAAAGCAGTAGAAATTGCCTCAACTCTCATGAATTCAATAGATCCATGCCGATTTCACTCCAGTGAAGTTAATGCCCTCAAACAACTTGTGTTACTGGCTTGATTTGACATTCTGTTCTTAACCAGCAACAAGTAAGGACATATTGGGGATGTTTAGCAGCAGTTAACAAAGCTCATGTTCTTCTCCCCGTCTCCTACTCTTTCTTTCTAACCTTCAGACGGGCCTTACAGGTCACTGGAAGACATAAGCACTACACAGGGTTTGTACACATTGGATGAAAGAGGACAAATGCATTCCCATAGGATTTAAGTGCTCAGAATACGTCCAGAGGTGTGTAGAGATGTGGACGCAAGGGCATGCCTGGAGATACTGGAAGACTTAGTTTCGCTTCCAAACAATGCAATAGTAGAGAAGTGGTAGTCTTCCCAGCTTTGAGAGGAAAGGTGAGAAAAGCTCTTTAGAGTTGTGAGGCAGAGAGCCAACAGGTACTTCAGAGAGTTAGGGAAAAAAGAAACTGAGATGGTTGTACATATGTGCATCCATACACACATACCTAATCCTGCTGTGCCTCCCAGCACAGACACAGGTGGCCACAACGTCCCACCACACATCTCAGCACACGCACACACACTCCTGCACTTCTGTCCTAGGACACATACACACTGACTACCCTATTACCCCGCTATTACTCACCATCCATACACACATAGTATTGACCTGCTATATGCTCAATCTCCCAGAAAATAAACCTTTTTTACAGATTATTTCCCTACTTTTCCTCCTTCCTTTCTTTTTCAGCCAGACGTCCTCAACAAGCATCTCTCTGACAGCAGTGTTTAACATGCCTGCTGAGTCTATAACTTGATGGACTCATAATAAGGAATCTGTGTGCAAACCAGCAAAGCACCGATTTTATAAATTTGTAGAATTAAAAATTCATGCAGGCCCATGCTCTCGCCACCACCTTTTCCTGTAAGCAGCAGTTCTGTATTCAGGCTGGGATCACCAATAATCAGAAAAGTACATATTGCTAATGGACCTCTGCATCACTGAGAGCTAGAGGAAAGCTTTTGTTTTCACCTCCTTTTTCCATTAATAATTGTTGCATGCTCTTATTTCTGATCCATTGAGCAAGAGGTTTTAGACAGAGCTGAAAAGTTGCTTTCTGTTCTGAAAAAAATCAAGCTGAGGACACTGGGTATCTGACTTAATCCTAAACTTTGTCAGTTTGACCAGGGTCTATCTTCTTTGGGACACAACATATAAGAGGGGACAAGAAGTTGATGAGCTTTGTGCTAAGCAAAACTGATACTCTAACCACCTTCCCCCTCCCCCCCAATTTCTAATACATTCAATTTTCAGACAGATTTTAACAAGGCAGGGTCCTCCCAGCCCTGGAGCACAGTGCAAGGCTGGTGGCTGCTATGCTTAAGGCTCAGGATGCTTAAGTAGTACAAGAGTCAGTTATATGAGCTGTGGTAGCATTATATGACCTGGATACTGACAAGGAAAAGTGGATTACCAAGATCCTTACTCCTCTTTGGAAGCCAGAATATACAGATCCTTCTTCCTGGTAAATCATCCCTGAGCACAGAGCCAAAGACATTAGGCCAAACCTAGGAAGCCATCTCACCAAGACACAAAAGAAAGCACATCTTACAAAGGGTTGTACCTACATCTTGACACATCTCCCAGAGAGACTTCTTTGCCCTCCTTATCCTACATCTGGGAGTGAGAGAATTCATCAGCTACCTCTCCAGTACACTATTAAATCAATGCCTTAGGCAAGTCCCATGTCCCATTCCCCATTCACCTGGGAAGCTGCATTCCACCTGAATAGAAGCAGAGAGAGGGTTTCAGACTGCAACAAGCAAGGTACGCTGAAGGCCTGGAAACCTGCACCTAAGCAGATTCACACACATGGGTTCTCTGGAAATTGTCCTGGGCCACTGAGGTCAGTGGGAGCTTGGTAACAGATCTTAACGTTCACAGGATCAAGCTCGAGAAACAGTGCCACCCACTGATTTTGGCAATGATTAATGCAATAGGTGAGAAATGAGGGGAGCTTTAAACCTGGAGATTAGGATACGTGCCTGTCTTATCATTCCATTTTGAATATTGCTTGTATCCCACTATCCCACTCTCCAATAATGATTGGAGAGTACTAGCCTTATCTTGGGCTGCAGAAAAGCTGAAGAGAGAAACATAGAGCTGGAATCTGGACACGAAAATCTCTAGCTTCCCAATCTGGAAGAACTACTCATGTCCAGAAATTTTTCTTTTTCTTTTTTTTTTTGTTAAGACAGACTCAGCTTATGCTTCTAATACAGTATTTTGCCACTGGGCAGGATCTGGGCATATAGACCATTTAACATGGTAAGTACACTACTGAATGCAAAGTTCCTCCTAAGGAGCTCCATCTGCCTAAAATATATTCTCATAAGGCAGCCCTTCAGCAAACAGGCCATTCTTATCCCATATTTTGTTTCATAGCTTGCAGCAGCAAAGTGCCACGGGCCACCACAGGTCCTGCCTGCTGCCTGGAAGCGAAAGGTTTCTATTAACATCTGGCAAAGAAAACCTCAGTGCAAATTCCCAAAGGCATTTTGATGCTTACCAGAAACCTTTCTGGCTTTGAGTCTCCCTCCCTTAATATAATCACACCTGTTCCTCTGCAACCCTAAACTATTCACTTTGCAACATACGAATGAGATACTCTCTGCACTAAGGCAGTTGGCCAGATGGACTGTGTGAAGATAGACTGTATGAAGACATCCATCGTGATTTTTTGACTGCATCTGCATTGCATAACTCAGTATTCAGTGAGCACACAGGGTTCCAATTTCTGGACTGTGGTTCAAACAAATCTCCTAAAGAAGGTCACAGTTTGATTTCTGAGCTCTTGGTGAGCTTCCAGAGCACTGTATTTGTGGTGGAAGGGCAGTAAATGTTCTTCTCTCTCTATATATGAGAAATAGAGAACTATGCTGGTCTAAGCCTTAGGCCAGCATAATTTGCTCTACAGCTGCAATCCAGGCACTGCTCTGCCTAGATTGCATGTAAACCACCTAGTGTCTCCTCCCATCACCCAAAGTTTCTCAACTTACCTCTTGAATTTGTAGATTAAAAAAACAGCCAAGCCTACAAATACCACAGACAACAACATCAGCATCGCCGAACTGCTATGACCCGTGCTGGAATCAACAAGGGGTGCTGCAGGAGGAAAAGCAGAGCATTACATTTACAAGATATTATTGGGGAACACATAACTACCAAAAAGTTGAACTCAACTCTGTCTTTGCCACATCTGCTTTATCACCACTGCATGCTGTGGTGCATGCTGTTATCAGCAAGATCAATCAGTAGGAAACAAATTGACTCTCTTGTCCTTTGAAAGCCTAGCTCTTTTTTCAAGACAGTGCAGTCTAACATCTCCTAGTGAAAAGGCAGAGCAAGCCATACTCAGATGAATGGTGATCACTCCTGTGTTAACACTCTGAGCTATTTCTTTTCAGGCTTTTCCAGGGACTAGAATGGAAATGAAATTTGTGAGGTGTGGCTTAATGCATGTCTTTGGAGAAGCTACCTCAGACCGTCCATGAAAACCATGACTCTCATCTTCCAAGGTCGTGTGTCTGTCTCACATGTGACAGGGATCTGGTCTTGTGAGAAGCCTCAAGGTTCATCCTTGTATTGGACCTTACAGACTTTTTAATTGAGTCAGTTTTCATAATGTGGAGGAGCCCAAGGCAATAATCCTGGACCGAAGCACCCACTATATTACAACATTTAAGAGATTTTATCCACCTATGCTTGATGTCTTGGGTGCACTAAATAAAGTGTATTTACATACATTGTTTATGCAGCTATTCCCACAGCTCATTGGAGCAGACCATCTTAATGGCCTGAGGACTGTGCTGAGAATCAAGAGTCTGATGAGAAGTCTCTAATGATGCACAAATGATTATAAGTAGCGGCTGAGTGTTTCTTGCTCTGGATAAATATTTAGGTTTGGTTTTTTACTGTTCTCTCTTCTTTTTCTGTCACCCAGAAGATGGGAACAAAGTCTATGCAAATAGAGTCACTTCTGGTTCCATCACCAAATTTTCACACCTAAGACACTGATCCTGCCAGTATTCTGCTTCTACTACTTCTATGGGCTCTTTCATGGAAATGAAGAGACTGTCATTTCACCTGAGTCAAAATATTATGGGAATGGTCATGAAACAAATGCAGCACCCCCACTGGTGGGGGGGTGTGACAATAGTTGAGCACTGTAAGCTAAATCCACACTTTGCAGTGTTTTACTAGAACAAACCCACATTCTGGACCTGGAGATAGCAGATATTTGAATCTCATTCCCAGTTTTGCAAATTAACTCATTCCAGCTGAATCCTATTAACATCTGACTCTCATCCCCAAACAACAGTCAGAGAGTGAAGGCAAAAAGGCATTACCTGTAGGATATGTCACAAACCTAAAGAGTCTCACATAAAAAGAAGCTGAAGTGTATTATCCTGGGACACTAATCCCAATCTTTCATAGGGATTATCAGCAATGTCACATGCACAAGATCCCATTTTCAGATAATTGCAAGGGCAGTCATAAAAAGCAAGAGCAAAAATAAATCCATCATCACTCTCTCAGCAGTAGCTGAGAGCTTCACACTAGGCTAGATGAAATTCTCAGCAGTAGCTGAGAGCTTCACACTAGGGTGGTTTAAAGCAAAAGGGGTGATGAAGCTTAAAGCAATTATTCATTACTTGGCAAAAATGGAGGTAGGTAGCACTGAAATTTAAATAAGTTCTAATTTGTAGAAATCAATATTCAGGCACATATTCCCTATAAGAGGCCTACATCTTCTTTTCATGAATACTTTGCCCTTATAAAGCTTCTTGGCTAGTCATAACATTAACAGGCCCTTTGCAATAAGGATTTGATCCAATATCCATGAAAGTAAGTAATACGCCCACTGAATTCCACAGGTGCCCAGTGAGGGCTTAATAGAATACCATTCACCTGATTTTCTAAAACACTTGAAAAACATCAATGCACTAGTTAATTAAGCCACAGGGAACTCTTAAAAGATACTTTTAATACTTGTACAAACTGGTGCATGAAGATGCCACTGCTGGATTCTTTTTTTAACACTTCCTGCTTCTACCCCATACAATGTCTTGATGCAATCAGTCCTACGTATCCCAGTAGCACATACCAGACTGAGTGGTCTGATGTAGACTGGTTCTCGTGGAGTTGTCTGAAGCCTCAAGAGAACCACAGCTATGCATTTGACTCACCTAACGTTAGCTGAGTAACGTACACAATGACTTCAACACCAGGCTTCAGTTCAAACTGGACCAGGTTCTGGTTGAGAGCGTTAAAAAGGATTTCTACCACCTGATGAAATAATAAGAGATACAGGTAGTTACAATATAGAAGATGGAAAGCCCTGGAGGACATTCAGGAATGTATGTAGCCTATGAATTGTCACTAACACCTCTTACTGGCTTCAGGAAGAGAAAAGAAGTGAGAGACTGAGGAAGCAGAAACATGTACATGAGCTTTAGATGGAACTGCATGTTATTGCATGCAAGTCTCCCCACAGGATTTTTGAGACTCACAGTGTATGTTATTACACCTCTTCTGGGAATCAAACCAAGAAAAGTGAGCAATTTTTTTTTTCCTTTTTGGAGGGTAGGTGAGGAGGGAAAAGAGCTAAGGACCTTTTCACCCTCCACAATGTCCTGTGAGTTTGATCTAATGCACTTGGAGATCATTGGCATATTGGCCTTTCATTGGTGGATGGTGGAACGGAGTTAGGTAGCCCAGCCTAGTAACACTTCTTTACTCACATTGATTCAGGACAATCCTAATCATGTAGCTCCTCTTTAAATAGGCTATCGGGCATGAGACAATGCAGTTTTGAAGGCTAATGTCAAGCTTTCCGTATTTCTCCTTCATTTAGAAGAAGGCCTTAGACTAGAGTTTACTCACAGCTCAGCAACCCAGCTATGACGGTTGCCTTAGAGCACATACTTGGTATGTCACACTGGCGCCTGCGTTTGTTAATGCCTGGTCTCCCTAGAGGAGTTCTGATGGTCAGGGCACAGCTACTGAGCAGTTCTGATGGCCTACTCTCCAGGGCAGAGCTCCTCAAGCAGAAGCAAACAACAGGTGCCAAAGTACAACTGAGTAGACCGTCAAATAAAGTTAGAGCACGAGAGCTTCAGGCCTTATGGTCAGCTAGTCAGAAACCCAATCTGAGGTGTTTGCATCATTCTGATATATGAAATACTGATACAACAGCTGGTTTGGAGGAAATTCTGATGTGGCTAGATCCTACTGAACAGGATGGAAATGACTCCAAGAAAATCCATCCAAAAAGCCTTCCAAACCTTCCCACCACAATGCATCTCTTCTGTACACTCACCACCATAAATGTAAGAGGCCAGCTTTGCTAGCTTCCTAGGACAATTGAACTACTCAGAGGAGACTGACTTTGTTCAGTGGGTGACAAGAGCCTCCACAGAATTCAGCAGTCCTGTGAATTTTTTAATATTTGATCACAGAATAGTTACTCCTCCATGAGTTACTTGGAGACAGTCTCACACATAGCTTGCACGCAGTAAAAATGTTGCATACAAGAACATTAGCTAGAGCTAAGCAGCCTTTCCAGCAGTACTTCACTCCTTTGCCTTTATAGAGCTGATTTAATCACTTGGTAATTCTAGCATGAAAGCTTCAGCAGACTAGTGCTGTTGTTCCTAGCTCTTCCCTTGCCTGCATATCACTGTTGCTATTCATCACTGTAATTACCTATTTATCTAAATGGATAGATATTGTAACTTCCAAATATAGTTTGCACACGCCACTCGCTGCTGCAGAAAAAAGAGGTCTTGTTCCAGTGATATATTAGCTGAAGAGCCTGATTTATTTTTAGTAAACCTCAGTATATTATCTTGCTGCTTTGGCCTCTGTCTATTAGCATTCCTCCAGGGAGTAGAGGGAGTACATATTCAAGGTTCCTTTGGCCATAACTACTGTAATAAGGACACACCACTGATCTAGGAAGAAGCACCACTGGTAGACTGTGACATGTCTCAGTGAGATATTAGAAAAGCCTGTTTTTCCTCTAAGAATCATTTTCTTTAATGCCATAAACTCTACTGCCACAGTCCCAGATGCATCCACTTATTGTAAGTCATTTCCAATGCTGCACAAGTTAAGGGGTCCATCTGCAAATTGCACGATAGGAATGAATATTCCATGAATCCTTCTTTCCTTACTTGCTCCAGATCAGCCTCACTGCTTTTCCTCCTCTCTGTTGTGTTTTTATAAGGCAGTATGAAGAGTTCAGCAGAAGTAGGCAGCCCAGGAAATACAGCTACCAAGATCTGTTCATCAGGGATACCAGTCACCTAAAAGAAAAGTAAAAAGGAGGTCTCTAGATGCTATTCTGTTACTGATGTTTCCATACATTACAGAAAACTGTGCTCCCATCAAGTTGTTATTTGCCAGTTCCACTGTAGGTGTTGTGGTCCTAATGAGCTGTTCTGCCCATTTGGTGGGTCAGAAGGAGAGGTTCTGCTAAAGATTCACTCTATTTCTGGAAGTAAATGTAGGCTTGACAACAGCCCTGGACTCAAAGATTTCAACCCAAAGTCCAAACCTACCATGTGTCCTGATCTGAGTTTTCCATATAGTCCTTCTCATGACAAAATGATGACCCAAAGTCAGATCCAGAGAATCTGGCTCAGAGAGACCACTGGTAAGTGTGCAACTAACAGGGCCATATGAAGAAAATTGCCTGCAATGACCTTCTAATATCAGGTTATGGGGATCTACATTTGCCATACATGAATAACTTAATGTCTCCAGTGGGAGCCTTTTTACTACTGGGGCTGATGGGGAGGGCTGCGCCAGGAACTGCTCAGTTTGCTGAACCAAGACTCAGTTCCACACCTGACTCTCACAACTGTCTTCAGCATGACCTGCCCACTGGGGCTACTGCCCTCTCTCCCCAAATCCAAGCTGTGCATCCTCAGTAGAGCAGGAAGCCTCTCCTCCCTCAGAAACTCTCTGCTATATGAGGCTAACCCCATTAGCTCCCCGGTCCTACCCCACCTCAAACTCCTTGGCTTCATTCCTGAACTGAAACATACCCATGGGGCAGCCCATTCCTGGTGATCTGTCCTATAGGCATAGGCCACAGGCTGCAACCAAATCATTACAAAAGGATATACAAACAAGCACTTCTTCATGATTTCTACTGTTGTCTGTAACCATTCATAGTTACAACCTAATTAATTTCTTTCTTCTGCAAGCTTGACTCTGAATACAGTAAAGGGAACAACAGTTTAAACAAACGAACTCAGTGTTTTCTCACAATGGGAAAACAATCAAGGAAACTCTTCTAAACAGTGAATTTTGAGTGGGCTGCAGATGAGAAAAGCTGAGCAGGAATGTACTTTCCCTGTAAAAATAATCAGCCTCCGTTTCTAAGAACAGCTGTAGCTGAAGCAAAAACAGCAAGATACATTTTTGGCAGAATGTAAAAAACACAAAAGCTTCTTCCCTAAATCTGTCTCCTGATTTCACACAAAACCAAAGTCCATGGCTATTTGATATCATAAATTATTCTGTCCCTTTCCTGCAAGAATATGAGTGCTAGTTTACATATTCTAATTAATCCCAAAGGAAGTTTCAGCATCTTCCACCCACAGAAGTCTCTCTTTGTCCTGTATTTGAAGGGTAAGTTTATTTCCCCTCTGAATCCTCATTTTTTGCCCCAGCTGGAAGGGGGGTAGAGCTTTAGAACGTTCACCAGCTGCTACATTTAGCTGCATTAGAAGACTGAGTACCAGGAAGAGATAAAAATATCTTCTTCATGCATGCAACATACTACATCTGTCTTCTGGGGTGAAGTGGATCAGCCATTTAGCAACACACAGTAACACTACCCTAATATTTGGAGTAGAAAACAGTGGATATCAATTGGCAAAATAAGAATAATAACGATACCATTACAATCTAGACTTCGTAAATCCTGGGGGATATTAAAAGCTAAAAAGCACCACAGAAACATTAATAAAAGTAATTACAATATTTCCACTAAATTCCCAATATAGTTTGCCTCTGTAAAAAGATCCAGCATATTAAGAAGCTTTTTAATAATTTAAAATTATAACTTCATTACTGCTGTTTTTTCCCATTCTTTTAAGCTAGCATGCTGAAAAAGTGCATATTTTAACACCTAGTCAATGTTAGTACAGAGAAGGAAGCAGATGCTCACCTGTGCTAGAGCTCTCTTGATGACTTTGGCAATGTCTTGTCTCCATTCAGGTATGTCAGGGTTATGGTAGTCCAAGTTGGGAGAAAATGACAGGAGCTGAGATTGGAAATACTCTGGAATAGGAAAACAGTATACATAACAATATTACATGGGCCATGTTCAGGGTACAGCCAAGGGTGCAGAAGACAGCAGGAAAGCCATAATTATTTTAAAGCAAGAGAGAGAGAGAGGAAATGCTGAAGGAAGAGAAAGGGCTGGCTAACACTAAGCAGGACAGAAAGCTTGCAAGGAAAGAATTTTTATAAAGGTTCTTATAAAGGCTATTTTGCCCTAATGCCAACCTGTGTTTTTTCCCAGAAGAAATGGAAGCAAGAATGAGAGAGGTAAGAAGATGCCTTCTCTTCATGATGTCTCTGGTCTTTGTAAATTTGCCACTCAACTTCATCAGATTCTGCTTACAAGGAAGTTGACCAGTAAATAAGGTGGCATCTGGCTGAAATTTGGAAGGCCTGTGCAATTGCATGCATTGTGCTCTGCAGAACAAACACTTACTGTAAGTATGTTTTAGAAAGTAGGTATTATCTGTTTGCTCTCCTGGAGGGAAGCCATGAGTGGTTAATACCCCAACAAATCAGGACCCAGTGGTGCTAATGACTGACTAATGAAGCGATGGCTATTCATGAAACACTTTGAAATTACTTCCTAATTGACTGATTGCAGGGAGGGAAAAAAAATTCCTAGACTTCAAATACAGAACAATTTAAATTTTTCTCCAATCCCAACTCTCCCCTCTATGTCGTCAGAGATCAAGCCTGGATTCCTTATGACAACCATGCACAGTGGATTTGGGCCAGTGGGAGGCATAGATCCAGGATGGGAATCACGCTTAGACGTAAGTTCTCAGTGTAGAAGACTCTCCGTTTTCGGAGATGTGCTGTGCCTCACCTTGAAGCACATGATCTCCAGACATTTCAAAGAAGTACCATTATTCATTTGTAAGAAGGTACCAGTTTTAGACCAAAATAAACCAGCAAGAGTATAAATGAGAAAATCCACAGAATAGCAGGGATGTGCCATCACAGCATTTATGTTGCATCCTTTGCAAGGTATGTTCTTTCTTTTTAGATGGTGCAGTATATTCTTAAATAAAACAAGCATCAAAGAGAGCAGGAAAACTTTCTCAAGTTCTGAAGGCTTAACCCAGAGCCTGATATATAAAGCCTTTGACTTTTGAACCCTCAATACCATGTCTGATTTATTTTTTGAGTAAATTCTGGTCTATTAATCACAAATTGAGAAAACCCTGCATAGATATGTCCACTGCTAACACCAGAAAGCCATGCCTTCCTACCCAGAGCTGTAATAACTTAACATAGGATTACGATACAAATTTAGCAGAGCACATGTTTACCAAAGGTGTCAGTTGTTTATGTACTCAGACTTGAACAAATCACCAGACTGGGGGTCTGGAAAGGCTCCTTCCTTAGATCAGGTCAGTCTGCAGCATAGTGCTACACAGGATTGTTTGGACATTTCAACTGGATCAGTTTCTCTTTGTGATGAAGCACAAAGCTTTGGATTTTTAAATAGAATGGCAAAATTTCTCACAAGGTATTTAAAAATAGAGAGTGAGGAGCACTCTGGGGGACCTACCAGGACCAAAGATCAAGATCACCTGTGGGGACCCCTCTCAGGTACGCTTGGCTCAGGTTTATTCCAGAAACTAGTGGAAAGATGCAAGTTTCCCAGAAGTAAACACTGCATTTTGCGATGCTCAAAATGACCAAGTAGAGGGTTACTTACATTTGCTAATAACAAGTTTGGGTATTACTAAATCATATTAATAAATTATTAAAACCCATTGCAATTCACAGCCAGGCAATTGTTAAATATCTATTTAGCTGGTTGTTAAATCGGAGCATACAGCTTTCTAGTCACCAGCAGGACATGTATTTATATTTAATTACTGAAACGAGACACACAGAGTTCAACTACACAGTGCAACCTGAGTTATTTGAAGCCCAGGTCTCTCAGCAAAACTTGCTATCCAAAGAAAAGCTTGCCCTCAAATGCTGGATGACAATAACTGGATAAGGGAAATGAAGACTAGCCCAGGGTTTTTTGGAGAAATCTCAAATTCCTGGCCAAAACTGCTAAGAGAGCCCTTCCACTCAGCCTTTATCAAGCCCCAAACTGAATAAAATCTGTGGTCTGCTGTGCTGGTTTTGGCTGGGATAGAGTTAATTTTCTTCATAGTATCTAGTATGGGGCTGTGTTTTGGATTTGTGCTGGAAACAGTGTTGATAACACAGGGATGTTTTTGTTATTGCTGAGCAGTGCTTACACACAGTCAAGGCCTTTTCTGCCTCTCACCCCACCAGCGAGCAGGCTGAGGGTGCACAAGAGGCTGGGAGGGGACCCAGCTGGGACAGCTGACCCCAACTAACCAAAGGGACATTCCACACCATATGGCGTCATGCTCAGCATAGAAAGCTGGGGGAAGAAGAAGAAAGGGGGGCGACGTTTGGAGTGATGGTGTTTGTCTTCCCAAGTGACCATTACACGTGATGCAGCCCTGCTTCCCTGGAGATGGCTGAACACCCACCTGCTCATGGGAAGTAGTAAATGAATTCCTTGTTTTGCTTTGCTTGTGTGTGCAGCTTTTGCTTTACTTATCAAACTGTCTTTATCTCAACCCACAAGTTTTCTCACTTTTAGTCTTCCGATTCTCTCCCCCAGCCCACTGGGGGGGAGCGAATGAGTGGCTGTGTGGGGCTCAGTTGCTAGCTGGGGCTAAACCACAACTGGCAAAGGGTGCTTTTTGAGCCCATGATATGCATATATGGCAGGAACATACCACACATTACCCACAGAGAAGTCTGGTGGACACCCTCAGACCTCCAGCTGTGGCATGGAAGATGGGCAGAGATACCAGCAATAGAATCATTTCTGCCCCTTGTTTTGCAGACCTATTTATACAGTCACTGTATAAAAAGAAACACCAGCTGTATTGAGGTCGCCTTAATGATGCACTACGACTACTTTGTTCCACAGCTAGGAAGCAGAGGGAAGCCAGTCTGGCTACAGCTCTAAGTGTTTCTTCTTTTGGGAGTTGCCAGTCAGGGCGTAACCTGACAGACCAATAAGCAAAGGAGACACCAGCCACTTCACTGCAGTGCTGAACTTACAAATTTGGCTAGCTGCCCCATCCAATTCACTTCTGTATTTTGTGTTATTGACACATCTGAGCTACTTTGTTTGCAGTTTGTCTTCTGAATTTTCTCCAGGCACTACGGAGTTCAGAGAGTTCATTTTGGTTTAGCAGTGATTGTCTGTTCTTTGCCTTTAGATGCCCCATGAGATCTGATTGTAAAAGGCTGAGGGTACCATGCACTGCGATCTCCTTGGTGTCTTGAATGAGGGTGTTGCCCGCAGAAACCTGCACAGTGACAGTGTTCATCCCCTCCATGGCAAAGGTGTATGAGATGCTGCTCTCCAAGGTGATGAGAGGCTGCAAGAGGCAAACACAGATGGTCATTTCAAAATCAGAATGAGATTAACTCAGGATCACGACATGCACCTGACTAATCCACCACGCCACGGTATCCTTCCTCCTCGATACAGGAATGGTGCCCTGAGCTTGCATATACCGATAAGGCCTAAACACCACTCAGTGAGAATTGTCCCATTGGCAAAGGTTTCTCTCACTTCAGTAAATGCTTCCTGAAATATTCTTCCACTGAACTGCGACCCAATATGCTATGAGTACCTCAGTGGAGCACAGTCAGCATTTGCAGAGTTAGTGCTGCAGAATGCAGTGTTGTACGCACAAAGGCATGCACGCTCAGCACAGTTGCGACATTAGCTGTGCAAAACACGGGGTCCAGCTCAAACCAGCATTTGAATATAAACCAAAGATGCAGATGCTTCTTCAAATAATCCATATTGTTCATATTCAGGACGAGCCCTTGCTCTTATGAGAACAAATCCATCTATCTATCTCAGAGCAACTCTGCTCAGGGTAGAGTGAGGGCACCCAGCATCGCCCTGTCCATGCTTTGAGCCTGTAAGCTAGCTCCAACCATAAGCTGGCAAACCATGCTAACAAGGCTGAAAGCGTGGCATAATACCTGCCGACACTGCTGTCTGAATGTGGCTGAATGGTTTCCAGAGTAAAGTTGACCTGCATTTAGCCAGCTCAGAGCCCTGGCAGAGAAAGCTGCTTTATCAACACCTTCTCAAATGAAAATGTCCTCGATAGCACTACAGCTCTCCTCTTTGCACAGGAAGCTTTCATACTGATACACATCTAGCGCGCCATGTTTGGGAAAAGAGATTTGCATATTGAAAATCAAAGGTCTGTCCCTCACAGTGGCGTTGATCTGACAGCTGGTCTATAGACAAATCTCTTGGTTTAGATTAAACCGTTAAAATTGAAATAGTGATACTAGCCTCCATTGCAAAAGCACTTAGAGGTCTAAGAGCACAGATAAAACCATTGTACCATTGCTATTGTTCATTCACCAGTTTGTTTCCAGAGCAAAACCCCTAAACGTTCACCTTCCAGCTCCCATGCTTCATCCCATCAGACTGACAATTCTCCTGCATTTCACAACAGTGGCCATATATGCCATTTTCATAGCTAAATCAAAATTATCCCTGTGTACACCAGGCTGGCAAACACATTTCCCTCCCTGCAGAATGCCACCTTCCTTTTACTGCCTCATCCATGAGCTGAAAAAGCAATAGAAAAAAAAAAGAAAATCTGATCACAGGAGACTCACAGATGAAGTCAGCAAGGGTGCCAACTTGTGCTAGACCTGGAAACCTAACACAGGCATGCACACATCCTAGATAAGCACAGGGCCTATATCAAACTGCACGATATTAGCAATCTTCCTGGTTGTGATTCTGTATAAAGGTAGATAAGAGGAACCAATCTGGCCTTTAAAATTAAAATTTTTCCTTTTTGTATGTGTGTATGCTGGACATTACATTATCATGGATGATTTCACCTCCATCACGGAGTTTCAACATTCATCCAACTCCTTAATTTTAATTCAAGCACCAAGACCTGGAAACTAACTCCGAATTAAATAAAGTAGTGTAAGGTTCATTTACTCAAACCTATTAGACAGCTGGACACATTTATTAAACTGGATCTGTGTTAATCCAAGCAAATTGGCCTTTGGGTATACCACAAAAAATTAGCACAGTAGAAATTCAGTACAATGGTTCCAGCAGGGTGGGGAGGGCAGCAGAAGAGCCTCAGCCAGGTCATTTGAGTCTAAGGCAACATTCGCCTGTGCAGCAGCACAGACAGTACCTTAGTGAGACTGCACAGTGACACAAGACACGTCTGGTTCTGCCTGGGATGACTACAGGCTGAACAGGAAAAGAAGCTGCAATCCCTCAACATGGAACCAGAATATATCACCTAACAATACCAGTCGCCATGCACAATATTACACACCTCATCCTGTAATTCATGCACAAATCAGTGTCCCCATCTTCCACCTGCACTAAGAGCACCACCCTTTGCCCATGAATGGGCACCAAGAAGGCTCTGACATGTACGTTAAACATCCCAGAAGGAATTTTGAGGTGATGTAGACTGTTGTCCTGAAAAAAAGGTGTTTCTGCTGTTATGTCTATATCCTTTACCATTACAGAGCTGAAGTACATTTCATGAGGTAGCTGGAGTTCATGCTTTGCAAAGAACGAAAGGTGCTCTGGGTCTTTGAACTGGCCACAGCTAAGTGGCACCATCTTTAATAATCTAAATCTCAACATATTTCAGCAACATATACATTCACTCCAAGGTATCATCAGGATCAGCTACTCCATGTACAGCTATGTCCAAAGCATGTATCCCAAGCCCATGCATATCTGTATTTGTAGTCTGTTGCCAATGGGTCTGAAATTTAAGCTAGAAGATAAAACAGATAACAGATCATATTTACAACCCAGATGCAAGCACCGTGAGAGCTGCATGGAAATCTTCAGCAAACACCACTACTTTGCTTTACCTTTTCTAGATTACTTTCTATTTCAAAAAATCTTTTTTAAGGCCCTATTCACAAGCAACTTCTATATTAAGGACAAAAGCAATGACAGGAAAACTCTGACACCTGGGTACACTGGACGGCTTAAGCAGATGATCAAGCTACCGGTATCTAAATTGTCTCAGAGGTACTTTAATAGCTGTCCATGGGTGAGCACTGAGCCAGAAATATCTGAACTCTAATATGATTTTGCATGCCCCTCTGTCAGTGCAATATAAACTATGTGGAATTACCTGGTACTTGTCATGGACTCGATGTGTGTATGTGGGTGGTTGCCACAGCTCAGCTAGGGCACAGCAACTTGCCAAGTTATAGTAAGTGGGTTTTGTTCCTGAGCTGTTCCAGTGCCTCAATTCTGCTTCCACAAAAATAGGTGAGTTCTTACAGTAAGCTTCCTAACTTGATGTAAAATCCCAGTAGACACAGCATTTACTGTTTGTGGTTTTTTTCCTGCTACTGTTGGTAGCTAGGGTAAGAGGTTAAAATGCAAGCAGCTTTGTCAAAGAGAAAATAAAATACTTGGGTGCCTGCTATTATTTATCTCAAGTTCCATATTTCACCTACGATCCCTGTTTTTTCTCCTGTGATCTCACCTCAGTGCCCATCTTCAATTGCAACTCAATAATGTAGACAATGATGTGACTGAAACTGCTTTTGTAAATAACAGCAGATACTCCATTGCAAAATTATTGGCTGTACATTTCACAGTTGTAATAATTGAGAATAGTGCCTGTGTGTCAGCTCTCTCACTCCTAAAGCTTGCTATAAAAACTGTAGCTAATAAGCAATCCTGCTCTCTCTATTTGAAAGCATGACCGCCAACTTGTAGTTTCACTTTCTTTTTGATAAAAAAACTCTTTATCATAAATTTTTGCCAATCATTTGAAAATCCACTACAACGAAGTCTCACCTCTCTCTCTAATATATCCGAGACTGTGAACAATGGTCACAGACAGACACAAACAATTCATTGAGAGTCTAGCTTGAAATTCTAGGCGCAACTGGTTATTTGAACACCAACAGCTTTAAAGTGTTGTGTTGGAGTCCAGCATTATATACTGCATACTGGTACATAATGGAAACCCCCATGGTTATTTGAACACCGGCAGTTTTTAAACACTGTGTTGAAAGCCAGCATTATCCCATATATAGTGGTACATAATTCAGTTAGGTTGCAAGGGAACACTGGTGGTAAGAGTGGTCTTCAAAGCTCAGTAGGAGTGATAACAACCAGATGTAAAAAAGTTATGACTCCTAAGGACAGCACAAGACAGGAGGAAAACCTTCAAAGATTGAAGTCAGATAATGACAACTCTTTTTAGGTAAGGAAAAACTAAAACACAGAACAAGCAAAGGCAAGAAGTTTTTATTGGGGCTGAGAGAGTTCCCTGTCTGGTACAACAAGCTTAGAAAGTAAAAATGAACCAACAGGCAGCTGTACCTTGGTGCTGTTGCCAAACCACCAGAAGTAGGTAAGTGTGCCTGCCTGGCTGGGCCAAACTACTGCAGTGATGTTGACATCCTTATTTCTGATGGCAACAAAGGGGACACTCAGATGGACATGCTCCACTGGACCTGTGGGAAGAGACGGTTCATTCTTAGAGGCTTTGAGTTAAATCCTCTCTGCGCAGTTGTGAACAGCAAGGATCCTTCCTTTAAATAAATCAGATGTCTCATGTCAGCAGTGAGACTCTATTATAGCAATACAAGACAATTTCAGCAATCGATAAGCAAAAAAAAAAAAATGAGATTAATAAACATAAAATCACAATTTTTTTCTCACTATTAATTCTAGGGAAGCCAGAAATGCACTAATTTCTAAATGCTAATTTCAGACAGGGTCAGCACTGTGTTTAGAAGGATTTTTAAACACGGTTTGAGGGTGAGCAATGAACTGGCTTTGCACTGGATGGGGCAAGCTATCACGGAAAGCCTGAAGGATAGGACACAAGAAAGAAAGCATGTGTTTTCTTAAAAATATGTCCACTACAAAGATTTGTGGGAAAATCATTTTAGCCAAGATGATTTAAATCTAGTTATATATTAGGCATTTACGACTGGATTAAATACTCCCTGACAGTTCTTTAGAAGGTATCCAAAAGAAAGATTCATGATTTTGGAAATACTTCGTATGTTTTTCACCTTGGCCTGACCTTGAGAAGTCTTTGGGGAGTCAGTTACCATTAGCAAAAAGGCAGGAACTATTTCAAAGATGCGTGTATCGGCATATCAAAACATTTAGCAATCAGAAGAACTTGTTGCTGAAACCTTAAAAAATCACAAAGTATCAATGCAAATTTGTGTCTAATAAACACAAATGTCCAGAATGAGTCCAGCACATGAAGTTCAGAATTAAGAAGCCAGTTCCTCTCCACAAAAAACAAGTGGTTTTGTTTTTCAGTTTGTTTAAAGCTTTTACTATCTCCATTGTTTTCCTTCTTCTTTAATTTTTTGTTTTTACTGGTACTGAATTTCAGCTGGTAACTGCTGCATATCAGACAATGTTGCTGAGTCTTTCTGGACGGTACCTTTTAAAACAGAAAACTGATAGACTATCACTGTGAGAAGGAAAAATTTGAAGTGAGGAGTTTTTTTGCATAAGACATTAATTCTGGGAAGCAGGAAATTTCTTAATTTTAACTGGGACATTTTCTTGTGTTACCACTCAGCTTTCAAGCATGAAATGGGGACATTAATCACTTTTCCACGTACTTGGATTACAAGGATTTTGGAAAACAAGACCTGTTCTTTTGCCACCAGAACATAAAGCTCCAAGCACAATGTGTCACTATTCTTGCTTTTGGTTCCTAAGAACTTGTTCTTTTTTGTTCCCCCTTTCTAAAGGGGTCTCTATCAGCAAGTCACCCCTGAAATCTGCCCATGGCAAGTACTCAAGGTTCCCAAGAATAGCAGATTCCCTCAAATATTTTTTGACAGTGCATGTCAAGAGGAAAAATACTAATATGTTCACTTCCTTTAAAATGAAGGGATGAGCAGCTTCACAGCAGATTCCAGAAAGGTGACTGACCACTGATAAAACTGCAGTGTTGAAAACTACTGGTGCTTGAGGACAAGAACCTTGTTTCTCCTTTTTTTCAGCACAGAATTCCAGCACCAGACAGATGGTAATAAGGGTGATTTATATAGCAGCCATTCTCATCTATACATTTGAGCTTCAAGGTCAAACTTATATTGACTAGTCTATCCAAATATATTAAAAGTCTAGTCCTGAGGTATCATCTTATTTCAATGTTAACATGAACGTAAATGTTTGCAAAATATTTCCCTGAAGAAAATGATAATAAGCTGGACACCTAAGAATGCTATAAAAGTCAAAGGTGAGATCTGAGAGGCTGAGGAAGAAGAGGGTAGAGTAGCACAACCAGGCCAAGCAAATGCCTCTCGTTGCATTCTGCTCTAAAATCCTCACCATGAAAAAGAAGCTCCTATGAGAAAAATCAGATAATCCATATGAAGCTGGTTGTTATTAGCAGGTAACCATCACTTTTGTCAGCTAATGGCCCAAGGTGAAGGAAAAAACAGTTAATGCTCTAATAACAGGTTGTTAAATGCAGCCATGATTGACTTTGAGGGAATTATGAGTATAATAAAAGCTTCAAGGAACATTTATTCCTTCACACAGGGAGCTTGAAATTAAAAAGAAAAAAGTTCTTGAGGTTTGGAAATTTCTTACTTGCTTCCTACCAGCAGAAAGCTCAAGTAAAAGACAGTCAGGCTAGAAGACATTCTGACAGGCTAAGAGGGAAGAGAGACATAGCTGTGACATCATTGGGGTAAAAATAATGAGGTACATCTGAACACAGATGGAGCGCTCTGTCCAGGAGAACTAGTAGCCTGAGAGCAGGACAAAGAACTGGGATCTTCCTGGTCTCATCCTGTGTTCCACACCCTCTGCTCTTTCCTGCGGCTTTGAGAAAGCCAGCTGGGGGCTCTATATTTGTGTTTGCTCATTTGCCAAGTGGAGAGAAATTGCATTGATCTACCAAATAGGAGGGAAAAGTCAGGGATGCATGTCAAACACACAAAATATGAAAAGTAGCACATTAGTCCTCAGTACATTCATATCCCAGGAAGTATGCTCAGCTTAATGTTTTTGTTTTATTTAATAAGCACTGTAAACGCCCAAATCCTGAATAACTGACTCAAAATCTAAACCTCTTCGATTTAGAAGCATATTGAAAACAAGCATTTGGACTTTGTTTCATATGCTGTTTGGTATCTGACCCATTCAGAAAGCCCAAGAAACATTTCCAAACTTTCCTCTGTACCTGTGAGAACTGCAAATATACTTGTTTTAAAAGAAGCTCCCCTTCTTCTTCATTCATTGAAGCTTACTTCAGACAGAAGAGTATCTAAAAGTCCAAGCCTTTGTAAGAGCATGAGCTGCATATGTAGGTGGGTTTGCATGTGTTCTTACGCCCCACTGAAGTTGCAGGGATTTTCAGTGAGGTTAGGTTTTTCACCCAAAGAATCCAGAAGCTGGAAGTACTTACAGACCACATGAAGGAAGAGGACAGCAGTGTCAGAGCCCAGGCTGTTCTCTGCATATGCTGTCACCTGAAAGATTCCAGCACTCTTGTACACATGCCGGATGCCATCCTCAACAGGGCTGAAATTAGCATAGGATACTGCAATGCCATCTCCAAAATCAAGCTGAATGTTTGTCCTCTGGAGATCACCCTGCAAGAGAAGGCTGGATTAGGAAACGGGGCTGATAAGAGTAATTTATATTACCCTCCATCCCACCTCTCAGTTACATTTCATTAGTATGGACACAAACTCATAATGTTACCAAAAAAGCCTAGCTTTGTTCTGTCTGTCCCCAAAGGGGCTACACTCAAATCAACACCAGATAATTTTATACAAGCAATGCTTAGAATAGCCAAATGTTTATACCTGTAAAGAGATGATATTCCCTCACCTTGGGTTTAGAGATTTTTGGGACGGCAGAGCACGAAACGTGCATATATCAAAGGGACCATATTTGAATCATCTAATGCAATGCATGGTTGGGGATTATGTGTCCCTGAAGTGGCCAAGGCTTTGCACAGCCTTTGGTTGAATGGGTGTTGTCCAACAAGTACTTCCATCAGAGGCAGTGAGATGGGAGGCACTGGACTGATGGTAGGCTAGATGCTAATTGGAAAGCAATTCCCACATGCACTTGGAAGCATTCAGGGACACTCTGGAGACAGGACAATGGCTGAAGTGGCTCTCCAAGATGTTACAAAGCAAGAGAACCTAGTCACTGAGATGGCTAGGTTCTAGTCTAAGCTAGTTTTCCAGGCTTTCTGTATAATCAATGGAAGAGACAGACAGCAAGAGACCAACATATCTTAAGATAACTGAGACAGGTGACATGAATCATCTTCTGCAAATATCCATCCCTGTACCATGATGATAGAAAGTCTAGATGACTAGTTTCAGTTAGACATGTAACTACAGGATGGCTGAATTTATACAGGTTGAGTCCCACATCAAGGACTGACAGCTTTTGCCTAATGCCAGTCAACAGAGAGATAGGGCCTGGATACACAGGAGAACGAAGTAGATGACAAGAAAATCCCTTCTAGGATTACCGTCAATGAAAGCTATTAAATGATGAAGGGAACAACAGACAAGAGATTCCAGCATTGCAGGTATCGTCTGGAGGCAGCAGCTGCGCTGTTTTAACTTAAATCATGCTTTAAACCACTGCAGTTGAACTGTAGAAGGGTCTGTTATTTCTATTTCTTTGAGCCTTATGTTATACTTGTCCCCAGCTGACTAAAAGTAACACAAAACAAGGCTAATTTAAACAGAGCTAAAGCTCACTGCAGTGATTTCACTAAATTGATATAAAACTACATCTCAGATTAAATCTCCGTAGCTTTCTCTCTCTATATAAGATGTATTTGCCCAAGACATTTCCTTTCATGAGAGGTCTCTACCATATTCACTATGGGTGAAGAAGATACCATTACTTTTTGGAGATGCTCCTAGCCCAAAACCAAAACCAATCCCCAGATATGTTGAGAATAAGAGTGAGATTCCAAAGTAAAAACAAAAGCCAAACCCAAAAAATCCCTGCTCCTAAATGTAACACTTTTTTAATATGAAATTCAGAAATATTTCATTGCCATCTCATAAATCACATTATATCTGTAAGTGCACAGGGTCAGGATCAAAGCTAATGTGCAGTTCCAGTATATACTGATCCAAGGGAGGGAAGCAACCATGTAACTCACAGCTAGGTCTGATGTACTTAACAATCCCTTCACAGCCAGCTCAAATCCTGCAGGGTCCTACATCCACTGGGCTCATTGGAAAAGACCACTGAACTCACAGATTTCACCAAAGCCTCTGGGCCAGGTATTCCACAAAACAAACTATGAATTCCTAGAAAAACTGTGCAAATCATACAAAGGGAAAAGATTGCTTGGGACAACCACATATGTGACAGTCTCTCAAAGTTTTAAAGTTGACAGCACCAGCTTTCGTCTGAGCAGTAGTTTTCAAGTTTACCCGTGTGTGGCAAAACACATGGCTTGCAGCCTAAATTCTGACTGTGGACCTCACATCCAGAAGTGATTTTTCATATGGTTTGAATACTTTTATATGTAGCACAGATCCGTTTTTGGTCATGACTTCTTATCATCCTGGGACAATCAGGATAAAGGCAGAATATTGGCTGGATCATGGAAAAAGAGGTCCTTAAATCAGGATTAAATAGCTCATGGGCTGTTCGAAACCAAGTGATCAGCAACTGAGACCAACAGTGCACAACAAAGACTCCTGGAGAGACAGGAACACCCATGAAAGGCATGAGGTCCCAGTTCTTGCCTCCCACTGACTCCAAACCCACAGGAGTTGCTGTCTTACTGGCAGTTGCCACCAGCCTGTGTAAGCGGCAATGACAGTACTGACACAGGCAGGATGCTATGTTCTGCTACTGGTCCCAGCCCCAAAAGTGCACCTGATCTTGTCCTTTGGATGGAAACCTGGGAGCACAAACAAGAAGCCACACTACACTGAAGCAGGTCCCCTGTGTAGATAGTCAGGACCGCAGCATGCCCCACAGACTTTACCTTCCTCATAAGCTATGCCTGCATTAAAAAATCAGTGTGTACGAAGGGTATTTTTCAGATGTGAATTTGCCTTGAATGTGTACTTGGAGTCTTCAGGTACACACCCGTATAATCAGGGTTATAACATGTAGTTTTTGAAATATGGATATTTTGTTATAGAAGTTAGATTTCCTTCCTTCCTTGCTCCATCATTCTCATTCCACAGGAGCCAGGGGAGTTCTGTCTATTGACTTGATCAGGGCACCATTTTCACCCTAGTCCTACTGGGACATTAAAAACACAGCATAAACAAAAAAGAAAATATAGAGGACTAGAGTGGTAGTGACACTAAAACCTATCTATAATATTGAGTAGCCAATAACATCCTTCTGACAAAGAGTTTTTTAAGTCACTCTAAAAGATTCTCTAGCAGGGGCAAAATTACACTCTTGGGATATTCAGTTATTTGATAGAAACGCTCCTACAGCTTGTTAGACCTTTCAAAACCACTTCTCAAGAGAAAGTACTAAGACCACAAGTTCATCTCATATGGAAGACACTGAACAGAAGATAAAAATTTTACATGGGCTGGATTAATCTCTGGTGACCTCAGACTGAAATCTCTTGCACCCATCATGGCAGCTCCTCTCTCATGCCTTACAATTCTCTTTTCTATTTCCTCCGTGCTTCTCCAATATAATTCTATCTGAAATGAGAAGGTTTGAAGTGGAGAAGCAGGAACAGATTCTTCATATTTTTTGTGACTAAACAGTAACAGATGATCTTTCCACCCAATTATGAGAGTTGGGTCTTCAATGCAAAGCCTGCCCATTACACTAATCGTGTTTTCATTCTCCTTTCCATACCTCTGTATCCAGTATATAAAATACTAAAACATTTGTGCTAGCCCTACATATGATGTCAGAAATTCTGGAGTTTATGAATAAAAATTAAAATAGAAATGAAGCAGAGGCATTTCAAATGGAAAAAAAATATTGCTCTCCATGTATATTCAAAGGCACATTTTATTGCTTTAAGCCCTGTAAAGTACCACAAGGGAATGAACTAGGGGTTGTCACAAAGATTGGAGCTCTGCATACTGAAATCGGTGAGCAGGCAAAAGGGTAGTGGAATGGGTGGAGAGGAGTATTGCCATGGAGCAGCCCTTCAAAGTCGTCTGCCCATCAAGACTAGCCTGGGAAGTTTTCCTGCCTGCAAGCCACACTAGCAGTGACAAAAAATGTAAAGACAGAACAGTGATTGAAATTTTGGCCTTCTGATGTTAAGAGCCAAACTCCCGCTGAGGAGGGCTATATTTCATCCAACATACACTTGGGGCTGGGGGGAGTAGGTTGTATATACATGATGTATTTTGGTACTTCTAATGAAGCTCTCAAATTGTTTGCATAGAAATATAACAGGCTATCTCTTTCTATAAACACAGTTTAGCAATCTTCTAACAGATGTGCAGGGCTTCAACACTTGGTCAGGCTTGTTCTTTTGTCACTGCTTGCCTTCTCAGCTCACTTTGCAATTACAACCTTGTTACAAAGCCTTGCCATCACCTTCTAATTACTGAAAGAGGGAAGCTGTGAGAGGGCATAAACAGAAGACGAGGGAACAGTTCAGTAACTGGAGCTGCCACATAAAAAACCATTTAGGCCTGAGGGGACTTTATGTACCCTTCAGAGGGGAGCTGGGGATGCACAGAAAAGATTAGGTGCAAAAACAGATTCATAGATCTGGTCAAGATCACAACTCCGTACAACAGCAATTTGGCAGTCTATTCTTTGTGTTCAAACTCGAACTTGGATTAAAAAACAGTAAAAAAAGGTTCTTATCTCCTCATGTTCCCTTACATATATACACAGTCCAAACCACAGTCCAGCCCATATTTCTAAAAACACAGCAAAATTATCAGTAATTCTGCGTTTCTTTGACCATTGTCACCGTCACACACATATTATGAATTACCACTGTGAACAACATTACTAAAGCTAAATCTATAAATTCTGAGAAATTTAGTTTTCAATTAACTGCGATGAAGTCTTTATTTACTATTGAACAGCATAAAGGTCAGTCACATCAATATATTGAGGGTGTGTATTAGAAGGTAGAAAGGACTTGATAGCTAATCACAAAGTCAGGGTTAGTCTGAAACAGTAGGAAGGCTGAATGGAGACCACACAGATGTATCCACAGGAGGGCTTGTCAGATTCCTGTTTGGCTCAGAAAATGAGTACAGACATAGGTGCAAAACAAGCCACCAGAAAATAGACTGACCAGAGAAGGTGGAGGGAGGCAGGAATGAATCTGTATGACAGTAAGGTATGAGTAATTAAGATTTCTACAGAAACTGTTTCCTCCAACTAACAAGGAATACTTTGATGACAATTAATTTGTCTCAGGTTCACACTGAAAGACTGGAATGCTTTTGCCCAAAATCTCAGCGTTCTTTTTTTTTCCCCTCTTAAGTGTCTATTCTTTTAAGAAACAAACTCAACGCACAACTCTCTGTGGAATAAGCTGTTCACCCACAAAGACTTGTTCTTGAAAATCCTCTTCCCTTAAAAAAAATATTGTTTCCATGAAATGTTTTTCCAACTATCCTTATTTTTCAACAAAGGACATAAAGTGAAAGTCCTCACATATTTATTCATTTGCCTCTTCAATCTCTAAAGCCTTGTAAAGACTCCACTCTTCAGCTACCTTGACTGCTGCCTTATTCCCCATCTGTTTATCATTCTTTGTATGCAGCGGTTCCGCTTGAGTTCCTTAATAAATTACTACTAGATTCCTAATTTTTAGATTATGTCTGTTCTTTTCTGAACTCCCACTCACAGTGTCTACACAAATCGTCTTACCATGTCAAGTCTGCAGAATATAAAAGAATCAGTCAGGTAGACAAGAAATCCCCTTTGTATAAAAGCAGAGCACACATGAACCTCTGAGGAAGTATGTAAAAAGGCCCTGTCAGATTAGTGTGGTCCCAATGAAACATTTAGTTACTGTATAAGAATTTAAATTAATAGAAGTGTGTGGGTTTAAAAAAACCCAAAAACTAATAAGGTATCATGAGAAAAAACCTCTCCATGGCAGTATGATCAAACTTACAACAGCCTCTTGTATTCTGGAAGGCCTTAGCTGCCAATGGAGGCTACTCCAGGGACTGGGAGGTGAAAGTAAGCTTGCACTGTTTCTAATATGATTTCCCTAGAGATCTAATGTTGCTTGTTGTCAGAGGCAGGATACTTAGGAGACGGACATCTAGTCTGTCCTGGTGTCATTCTTATGCTTGTGACCATGACATGGATGCCTCCCAGCTGTCTCCAGGTACTGTCCCAAAACGACGTACACAAGTCAGAGGAGATGAAAAAAAAGTACTTGTGGTTCTCCAACACCACCTCACTCCCTGGCTGCCCTTCCTGAGATATCAAAGGTGTTAGAACTCAGGTTATGCGTTGACCCTTCTGTTTAACCAGAAACCAGATATAACACAAGTCATTGTGGGAAAATCACTGTTAGACCTCCAATGACACCTTCCATGGGCAGTCAAAAGCCATCAGGGGAATGCAGAAGCTGCAAATAGAGAAGGACTTTTTGTAGTGCAGTTGCATATATCCTTAAACACCAAATAATCACAGACCAGAAGAGGCGTAAACTCATTTGAAAAACTCTCCTGTCAGCCTAAATACATACTAAGTGCCTTCCTTAGCTATCCAACCCTCCACTAAGCCACAAGCCTTAGTGAAATAGCCTGCACCATACATGTTTGTCAAACAGAGGAGTACCTGACTCAGATCACCAGAAGTGCCTCTGTTTTGATGATTCAGGCACCAGCATGGCCTGGTATCACTTAGGCTACTGTTGGCTACAGAGGGAATCACATCACATTATAAATAAAACAGATATAGTCTGGGGAGCTTAGAAGTGGTTTGAGGAGGCTCAGTTCCTACTGCAAAACAATAATGACCCTTGCTGCTCCCTGTGAGTCTGAAAATGTTCCCCACTCTTCTTAACCTTTCCCAGCAAAGTTTCAGCTAAAGCTTTCCATCCCAGAAACAGAATTATTTGGCATAGAGACACCATTTAGGCCTCACAAACTCCATAAACTGCAGTTCACTGGAGGTAGCAAGAAGCTAGGGGGGAAATACATTTTTGACCAGATCTATCTTTCTTCAGCATCAGCTTCGTCATGACTGGTAGACAAGATAACCAGCTAAATACTCCTTTGGCTTGACACAATGTGATTGGTTTGTATGTTTCACATATAGCCTTCTTTCATGAATTCTCCTAAACCTCAGGAGTATTCATCATTTCATGACCCAGCCTGATGCTCTTTTCCTCTCAGCAGCCTGACAGATGAAGGAAGAGAGTGCCAGTCCTGCCACACAGTGAAAAGTTTGCTAAGCCCTATAACAAACCTCTTCCATAAGGATGATGAAGGTGGCATTGTGTCCCTGCTCTGTGACCAGCTTTCCATCAGTAGTGAGGATGTGCAGTCCCCGAGGTGCTTTTCCAGGGCATTTCTCCATCTTGGCCATGTACTTCTCTTGCAAGCCATCTGTGCAGTTGTTAGACACAATCCTCCGGTACCTGGGGAACAGTAGCAAAAGGAGGTTGGGCTCAGGCAGTGGGCGGAAAAGTTTCTTTGTTTTGTTTTTGTTTTGTTTCTCCACATTAATGCATGTGTTTTTTCAAAGGCTAACTGCCTGCATGATTCCCTCACTGAAAGGAAGAATCAAAGAAATCTAATGCTTTATTAAATTGGACAAAGCCAAACAAATCACAATTCAACCTTCTCCAGAGATTCTCAGCAGCATCACTGAGAACAGACACACATTGTGGAGGTGAATCATTCTGCACTGCTAAAAGTCAGGGAACTCCCCCAACTCCCCATGCCTGCAGGATTGCACACTGCATCCCAGCTTTTTAATTATGCTTTTTATTACATTTTGTCTGTCTGTACTCTGCTAGAAGGCATTTAGAAGAATCTGCCAAGAGCTTTGTCCAGTCCAATTTTAAAATTGTTCAAGGAATGGGTTTTTCTCTTGGCTCCTCTTGGAAGACGTTAGCTAACTAGCAAGACACTCGGCTATTCCTGGTATTGTTGAGGGGGAATTAACTCTTTCTAGTAATTTCACAGTAAAAATACAGCATTGGTTAATAAGATACAGACCCCAACTATTTTCTTATTGCTCTCTGTCAAGAGAGCTACAAGCAGCCACACTGGCCAGGGCTCCTGTAATTATATCCCATGTTTATAGCAACCTTTCAGCTGAAAGGGGGTCTCTGAAGTTAAGGGACTCCAGACTCCCAGGGCCCTCACTTAGTTTGGCCACCTGCACCAACCAGCCATGAACAACCCTGTCATAACAGTCGAGCATGCAGGACCCATGACTCAGAAGCAGCCATGCAAAATCTCCAGGGCCTGCACTGCCTGAGAAGGAACATCACAATTTTGCACCAGCCAGTGCAACCAGAATTTCAGAGTATGCCCCTCATGATAAGAATAGCATTTGCAAAGCGATACTACCATAATAAACCAACCCTTGCCATCTGTTCGGGGTAAAACCAAGAGAAACCAGCACATGGAGCATGTCTGAAATCTCAAGGCACTGTATATATGAAGTGAAAATGGCAGAGGAAAAAAGAGAGGCTAAAAGTTGCTCATTGGAACCTTCCCAGAAGCCGTTATAAATAGGAGCTCTAAGATAGGAAGAGGTTCAGTGAAAAATGATGTGAAATACCTTGAACCTGTCCTTTTAAATGTTCAGCTGTCTCTCAGATAGACCTTCTTGATTCGCATTTTAATTTTGCAGCAAATGGGAGCTCCAAGCCTAGGCTCCAGGGATCATACATCACTTGATAGCAATACAATATCTACATGTCACTTATGTTAATGTGCTTCTCCCTGCCTCTGAGGAATGAGGCAATGTTCCATACAGATGCTGCTGCAAACATTACCTCACGAATAAGACTGGAAAAGAGCCAGGTGGGATGCAGAGAAAAAAGAACCATCCAGGTTGTCTTGTCTATTGCAAGGTCACCAAAACCAGAGAGATTGCAAGGTTCACTTACCCAGTGCTGTTCAAGTAGCTCTGACCAATGCTGCAATCCTTGGACAGGGAGGACGGGCTGAACCAGAAGGCTGGGACACACTGGTTGTTGCTGTGCCTCTCATACCCATAGTCACTATGGAGACAAGTCATAAGTGCATCACGATACCCACTCACTAGATTTAGCTTGGAGTTTTAGATGACGTTTTTGCTCCCCAAAGCAAGTGGGTGTTGGTGGTTCTCTGCTGGATGTCATGACATCATGGATTGGGCTCATCCAGATTTGATTAGTTCGAAAGGCAGGAACACAGTTCACAGAAGGTATGTGATACCTGACAACACCAGATATACCAACCTTGCAGAGCACTGGAGGACTTGTGTTTTATTTGGTATCAAAACATGGACAGACATTCAGAAAGAACATTGTATTCTTAATTTCTTTTCCTATTAATCTCTAATAATTTCACTTGTTAGGATCTTTTGATCTGCTTGTTTTTTGGAGTCTTTGCTTTCAGAACAAATCGGACTAATTCCAAGATCTAATGCCACTTTTTCCCAATAAAGCACTTAAGTATATAAAACACTAGGAGCACTTCCTAAACAACTAGCCAAGGTATGTATATTTATGTATGTTAATGGTTTCCCTGCTCTTTGAGCTATGACTGGCCTGAAAACCATAGCTGATGTTTTTCCAACACTAAACTAAAACAACACAGCCAACTTGGTAGCCTAAGCATTACACAATACTGTGTCACATGTGGGAGGTAATCCAGGGTATTGATGCTTCCTTGGACCACCAAAGAGTGGAATTGCACACAACCACATCCAAGACTTCTTTTTATAGCTGCTTTTGCATGCCAATGCAATGATGAAACAATAGGATTAATCTGAATCTTGCTGTAAATTTAAACAGGCTCAGAATCGGGTTTCTATGCATAGCCTTTATTGCCAGGCTGGCTTCAAGAGGCAAATAAAAAGGGATTCTGGATTTTTGCTGGAAGCAGGTTAACAAATGCCAACAAACTAAACCTCTGTGGAAACACAGACGCTACAGATGCCACTGACTTGAAAGCTCGCTATGCGCTTTAGGACATCGAGTTTTATCCTTCCCCTATTCAGAGTCTGAATTGCCAACAGAAAGTCTCTAGGAAGAGCTTTGGTGAGACAAAATTGTGCTATGTCCCCAGTGACCCAGGCTGCTACTGCTTCTTTTTTGGAGGACAAAAATTCTGCAAGCTGCTTTAAAAGGTTTGGAGGTTCCCTAATGCTCTTTCTCTCAACGTTCAATTTAATCATTCTCAGTGGGTCCAACCTGCACAGTCAAAAATGCCTGGCAGTGACTTGGTAATTAAAAATATTCAGGAGGAGCTGTACTTTGCCCCAAAGAAGAAAAGAGCTGCATAAATATTTAATAAAATTAAAGACAACATTGCTGTATGCCCTCAAGGTTCTGTGCTTGTTCATTAACTTCTGGTAAATGTATATTAAAAACTTGCACGCTGCCCACCTTCCTACTCATAAGCCCCAGGGTTTGCATAAGTTAAGGAAATAATCAAGTCCAGCTGCTGTGCTGTCTTTCTCAGGAAAGCTATCTTGACAGAGTAAATAAAGAAGCAGGAGGAAGGAAAAGAAAGATCAGCAAGAATTTTAATAACATTTCTGAATTCCTTCTGCCATTCTCTCTGTCAGAAAAAGGCCAGGGTTTGCTTTTGGAATTGACTGCAAGGGTTGGCAGGAGTCACCCCTGATCTTGACACACGAGGATATGTTGAACTAGGCACTTGGATTATGGTTTATGCCCCAGAAATTCAGATCAGCCTTATAACTAACAGCAGGAACCAGACAGCACTGCAACATGAGGCAGACAGGGGCAAGGATACTGTGACCAAATGGGAGGGAGCACAGCCCTCACAGCTTGTGCAGCAGGACTCCTACAGTCCTTTGTCCTGTCTGCACAGCTCTCGAAGGCAGGTGTCATCACACCTGGTAGCATGGGATGCTCTGTGACCAGAACCAGCCTCCAAAACTACTTACTGGGGAAGAAGAGGTCCTGTCTATTGGGATCTGCTGGTCAGTGTACTGACACAACCCCAGCTGCTAACCATCCTCCTTCCCCTGACTCTCCACAGGACCTGCTCAGTTCACACACAAAGGACAGGCCCATCAATGCTTCCAAGAACAACTGGCAATTGTAAGCCCAGCCAGAAAAGTCTGAGTAAATATCTTTCTTTTTCAAAAACACCAAGTGAAAGAGTAGGAGCTGTCCTTCCAACTGTAGATACTTACAGTGGGGACATATCCCCATAAGCTCCCTGCCTAGAGCCTTTTTCCACTCAGTGGAGAAGAAAGGCCCTTCTCAGCACCTCCCCTTCTCTTACTGACATCCGAAAGAAGGCAGATGATTCATATTCTAGCATAACCTGTATCTTGCCACAGACTAAATAACTGTCTCATCATTTAGAAGTCACAAGTCAGAGCAGATGAGTCCACCCTTCCTCTTCAAAAATCACTTTTAAGATAATCAAGCTTGGTGCCCCTTTTCCAGCATTGCTAGTGTTTTCTTCAAACTGATTGACCCACACCTTCTTCCAGTCAACCCTGCAGATCAGCATAAAAACTCACCCTTAAAATAAAGTTGGTTCTTCTGATTCTCCATCACCAACTATAATAATTTTGCAGTTGGAAGCAAGTTAACAATTCTGTTGGTAGCGCAGAGTCTGAAACAAAAGCCAGCTTGCTGTCCTCCAACTGCATTTCTTCTGTAGGACTGACAAGGTTGACAGCAATATTCTCTCATGTTAGCAGGAAACTTGAGCAAAAAAGATACTGAGCATATGCAAGGAACACATCAATTGATTGAAAAGGTGCATTCTGCTGCAGACCCTTTTCAAGGCAGAACAGCACTTAAGGTCAATTTAGCTACCACAGCTCTGCACTTATACTTAGAAAAGACAAGCTTCACTGTGAAAATAGAAGGGTGATGAGGCACGAAGCCACACACACACACACAAACAAAAAAGAGCAAATTCATAAGCATCTCTGGAGATTGGTGCTTGGTTCAGCTCAGAGGCATATGCCAATGTTAAGGGCAGATACTGCAGGGCAAGATAGTTTGTTCATCCTGCAAATTCCTATGATGAGAACAAGGGAAAGATCTCCTAAGACAAGCTAAGGAGTCTCATGTAATTTTGGCATTAGGAACAAATTAAACATCCATCCAGATAAGATGAAAATCTCTGCTCTATATCCCTGATCATCTCTTAGAGCCAAACTACTCCGATATTCAAGAAAACACTTTGGTCTGTATTTGTTATTCATTTTTACCACATTTCAGTGTGTCCATGTCCTAAAAAGAACTGTGAGTCTCAGCTGGCCTAAGTCCAAATAAGTGTGCAAATCTCCTGCGTCACACCTCTTCAGGAAGGATCTGAAGGTAAGTGACGTTTTCAGGAATCGCACCAATACCAAATCAGACACTGATCCTGATAACCTACTATAAAAATGAAAATGTTTTCTCAGCTGATCTGCTTTCAGGGTATCTTGAACTCCATTTAAATGACATTCTGATCATTTAAGCTCAAACATCACAGCTATTGACAGTCTTAAATCTTTGAAATATTGCCTATCACAGGTTCCCTGTAGGAATTCCTTCTGCAGAGATCCTGGCTGTTATGCATTCTCCTATCTCATATCCCTGATTGTCAAGCAATATCAAGCAGTGGTCCATTTTTTCCCTGTTTCATTTTTAAGCTGCTTTCAAAGTGACCTTAAAGCAGTTTGGAAATTATGGCCCCATTAAGTTAGAAACACCAATATTTATGCAAAACAAGTAGCTACATCTGACAAGGGTGGGCTGTACAGTCACGTCACAGAAGTCCTTTCAGAAATTTTTCAGTAAAACATTGCTAAAAAGCAACAAATCGTTCCCAGGAATTCAAAGGAATAATGATAAAAATGTACATGTTTTGCTAGCTTGCTCCCTAAGTATTCAATGACCTTGGAAGGGAGGACAGAGAAATTTCCTCCTTCTCCTGTAAAGGGACATACTGTGGACCAGAGAAGAGTCCTGTCTGTCACTCTTCTAGAATGATGGAAAAAAAAGGTCAATCAGTACTTGCAATTTTTTGCTTTTGCATTCCAGGCTTGGATTTCTCATGGAGATTAACAAATCTCTCCCACAGATGAGGGGGACATCTCCCTCACACAACAGGTATGGGAATCACATCTATGCTATATGGTACGATCACAGCCAGAAAGCTGCATGAGACCCAGTTTCTCTGCAAGGTTTTCTTTCTGGGCAGTAGCTCGGTCACTGCCAATGCTACAAGAATAGTCCCTGCAAAAGTCCCCAGAGTCACATACTCACCACTCGAAGTCCCCTTGACTGCAGACACAAGGTTCAGACACCACAGTTTGGGAATAGTCCCGACCTAGGGAACACTGGGCTCCAGGCTTGCGTTTTTTATATATCTTCCTCTCTCCCATGACACAAGGCTCCCCCTTCAGCAGGCAAGGAACAAGAGCAAAAAGAAAAAGAGTTGTAGTGACAGCTGGGCCCTAAATGAAGGGCCCTAAATTTTGTTGAAAGACATAAAAGGCAATGAACACATGCAATTACCACTGGAGAGCTGGGAGCTAAGAGTCTAGCTCCTTTTTGTGTCTTTGCAAACTCAAAAGCCACCTTGGGAGGACCCATGAGTGCAGTGTGGTCAGCACTGAGTTGGGATGCTAATGACAATGTGCCCAACATGCCTGGGTGCCAAAGCTATTGCAGGCTGTCAGAAGGCATCCACCAACGTATCTAGTCCTACAAATTATCCTGAAAAGACAATGTGGATGTTCTTCCATATGTCAGATGAAATCTACTACAGGAATAAACCCAGAGCAGGGGAAAAATCTAGGTGTGGAAGCCAGGAGTCCTGGCTCCCCTCCCCTTTCCTTGATAGACCTGGCTTTGTTATAGACCTCACATAGTTTTGATGGTGTGTTATACAGGGCTTTTTGAACACAAAGGTTTCTAAAAGCATTACTGGGCGTAGTTAATCTAAAAGAAACCTTTGAAATTTAGATTAATTGCTATAAATAGAATTTTCTTTAATGCAGAAATAGCTTGTTTGCATAGAAGTAAGAAAAAAAGACAACACTTAATTGAAACACTTATCTTTCCCATTAACAGTGATTCCCAAAATGGCTGCCTGGTTACACATGTCTTCCCTTTTCTTTCATTTAAATAATTTTCATTTATTCAATTCTATGACTTCAGTTATCTGATGCATCCTTGCCAAATCAATGCTCATTTCTAATTCAGGGATTTCATTCAGGAATATCACAGTGCCAATAGTTCTGCCTCTAGTTACGTTGCCCTGCAGGACATCATACTGGTGGCCAGTAACCCATAAGTAATCTTCAGAGAGTATTGAGCTCTTTCAGTTAGAGTGGCTTCAGGATCTAAATATATCCAGCATGAAAATAAGCAAGAGTGTGTGAAAAGCAAAGCATATATCCTTGGATAAAATGAAATAATTTGGTCTTCTCTGGTGTCTTTTATTCAAAGGCTCCCCAGAGTTTTACAGACACCTGCAAGACCTGCAGGATGAATAAATGTTTTTATTTTCATTTTTGACTAGGGAAAATAAAGGCAAAGTGAATGAAAATTATTTTCATGAGTTACTGACAGAGCTACAAAGAGTTCAATGTCTCCTACAATTCAATCACAAGGTGAGGTTTTACATTGCCCTGAGCACCAAGGACAAGAAGATCCAGCTGGTGCAGTGGAATATTTTCATACAAAGAGAAGTTAACAATCTCTCTAACTTGCCCAGAGAAGACTGGCCCCATGTTTATTCATGCATATGCTTCAGGGGAAGTAAAACACCAACAGGTTAGAACTGTGACTTGGTGGATGCAAAAAATCCATATGCTCTGCTGAAAAGAACAAATACACTCCTATCTGGCAACATAGAGTATGGGGAAAGGAGCCCTCCTCATCCCCCCCCTACACAGTGGGAATACCTGATTGTGCAGATGCCAGGTTTGGTAGTCATCTTTGTTACACCTCCGGCTGAAGATAGACTTGTAGTCCACCTTGACCAGCTGCCATTCAGAACGGAGACTGAAATGCCCAAAAACTCTAGGCATGGGAGAGGAAAAAAAGAAAGAACCGGAGTCAGCCAAAGATATGCTTCCATTAAGCAAATAATTTTCTCATTAATCTCAGCTGCAGAAACCAATACACAGTCTTGGAGCTTGATACCCGAAAATGTTATTCAGTCATGAATAACATCTGCTTGTTCTATAACATCCTAGGATTGTTTAGCCTTTGCCTGACTGCTTGTACAGCCTGTGTTGGAAGGTCTTCCATGCCTCTAGTACTTTGCACAATGGGCTCTGAGTCCAGTGCAAACAGGTAGGTATCACTCAGAACAATAAACCACCAGACTAGAAGGTAATGTGTCTGATGTAAAGGGGGCTATTCTGATTAATATATGGGCTTGGTTGTCTCAAAATCAAGCCTTTCTTAGCTGACTCAGTTTCTTTACTGATGAATTTTAATGTTGCACAAACTACTTAACGAATTGTAAAAGAAACACCTGAAACAACATATTTGGGATATGGTCTGTAAGCAAGTGACTTGCAAAGACAGCAGCCTCCCTTCCATCTGCTGAATGCTGATTGTGGCTAGTAGGAGTGGAATTACAAGTGATCACCATTGTAAGGTTATCAGCAGTTTTTTCTTAATTCTTTTGAGTAGGTCACTCATCAGCAGCATTCACTGATCACACTCCATTGTTCACCTAGTTAAGTAATAGTTGATTTTCAGGATGAAAATTATACATTTTCCCACACAATTCCAGGGCAACACAAGGCTTATACTGAGTAAGGCAAGAGCAGTTGGAGCCGAAGGGCCAGCACTCAAAAAATAGTGGGGGAAGGACTCAGACTGTAATTTAAAATTGAGGCACAGATCTATTACTAATGGTGTGATGAAAGAGATCATATAAAATTGAATAGCACCAGAGGCTTCTGCCCAGGCTTGGACCAGAACGTCGTCAGCAGAGCTGGTTCTTGAACACAGGTCTTTCTAAATGCCGTCCTAACTCTATGGCACTCCTTCACCTGCAGAGAAAGCTATGTGCATGCTTAAGTCTCTGGAAGGGAAGGACCAAAGCAACAATGAGCACTGATGGTATACAACACCGAAGTACCATCACCACAAATACTAAGGGACTCCACATGTCGGAAGCTTGCACCTTCATGAAAGAAAGCAAAAACCTGGTTTAATTAATAAATAACACCAGGTACCCAGACAAAAGACTCCATCCATTCAGAAATGTTGCATGAGTTCTGCAAGTGTGTTCAGTTTTTGATCAAGTAAGAGCTTCCTATTCCTTTGGCCAGCTGTGATTTTCTCAGTAAGGAACAGCTTTTCAGTCATCTGCAGCTGGATTTCCAAAGAGATGTGTAATAGGACGAGATTAGGGCAGGGACATGGGTGGCCAGACTTTAAAAACCGTTAACAAAATTACAGCTTCTCAATGGTAGGGGGAATATCTCAGTGCACATGAACATCAAAAAACCAACAATGATCAAGTTGATTTGTCATTGTAACATGCCAACTTCTTGGCTATCTCAAATGAATATATAAAAGAACCTAAGAACTCATCTAAAATACAAGCTCCAGATTTTAAAAATTCTGTATATACTGAAACCCAAATCTTTTCTGACGCTCATGAAGCAGCAACTGTCATTGTATCACCCTTACTGCAAGATTTAGAGTGCAGAGAAATAATGCTTTTTTTCCTTATACCAAATCTTTCACTAACCTACATTTTTACCTAAGCCACTTATGAGATTAAAGTTTTTGGGTTTTTAATTATTCTGGACAAATTTCCCTATGAAAGCAAAAAAGAAACAAAAGAGAAAACTACTACCGAGTTTCCAAGCACTGACTGCAATCCAGACGCTGCTGTGTCCCCAGCGTGCTGCCATTCTTTAGTTCATCTGAATTTATGCTGCAGTCACACAGGGTTGCTGGCTTTGCTCTCCCCTCGCTGCCCAGACTACTCCTGTAGACTGCAGCCTGCACCAAACGCCTCTGCACTGTGCTGTTTCCCACAAAACAGAAACCATCCAGAACCAGCCATGTTCTCCCATTTAGACCTGTCTCAGCTCATGGGTATCAGGGAGAGAAAGGGGGTGGGAGAGATCTGAGGTCCTGGAGTTGTGGCTTTGCTGCGGACACCTTTCTATATCCAAGTTCTCCCTCACAGAAGCAAGCTCCAAGAAGCTGGCAAGACAGGGAGAGGATACAATGCCAGAAGAACCTGTGGCAAATGCGTACCCAGGTTAGAAATGAGTAGGTGGGGAAGGACTTGTGCGTAAGGGTATTGGGTTTGTGTGGCAAGGTTTTGGTAGCAGAGCGGCTGCGGGGGTGGCTTCTGCGGGAAACTGCTAGAAGCCTCCCCCATGTCCGATAGAGCCAATGCCAGCCAGCTCCAGGATGGGCCTGCTGCTGGCCAAGGCCGAAGGCGGAGCCTGTCAGTGATGGTGGTAGCGCCTCTGGGAGAACATATTTTAGAAGAAAAAAACAAAACAAAACTGCACAACTGCAGTTGAAGAGAGGACTGAGAATATGAGAGAAGAACAGCCCTGCAGACCCCCAGGTCAGGGCAGCAGGAGGGGCAGGAGGGGCTCCAGGCACCAGAGCAGAGGTTCCCCGGCAGCCCCTGGGGAAGCCCACGGGAAGGCCAGTTGTGCCCCTGCAGCCATGGAGCTCCACGCTGGAGCAGATCTCCACCTGCACCCGGGGAGGAGCCCACACTGGTCCACCAGGCAGGTGGATGCCTGAAGGAGGCTGTGATTCCCTGGGAAGCCCACACTGGGGCAGGCTCCCGGCAGAACCCGGGGACCTGTCACCCGTGGGAGGGACCCAGGCTGGAGCAGTTTGTGAAGAACTGCAGCCCGTGGGAAGGACTCATGTTGGAGAAGTTCATGGAGAACTGTCTGTTGTGGGAGGGACCCCACACTGGAGCAGGGGCAGGGTGTGAGGAGTCCTCTCCTGAGGAGGAAGGAGTGGCAGAGACCATGTGTGATGGACTGACCACAGCCCCCCTTCCCCGTGCCCCTGCGCCACTGCTGGGGGAGGAGGGAAGTTAAGCCTAGGAAGAAGGGAGGGGTGGGGGGAAGGTGTTTTTAAGATTTAGTTTTTATTTCTCATTATCCTACTCTGATTTGATTGGTAATAAATCAAACTGGTTTTTTTCACAAGTTGAGCCAGTTTTGCCCATGACGGTAGTTGGTGCGCGGTCTCTCCCCGTCCTTATCTCGACCACGAGCCTGTTGTTATCTTTTCTCTCCCCTGTCCAGCTGAGCAGGGCAGTGACAGAGCATCCAGCCAGGGTCAACCCACCATGGCAGGAATGGATTTATTAGGTAGATTGCTGCTGGCTCCTCAGAACATTTCTTATTGTAGTTCTAATTGTGGGGTATTAGCGATACGGAACACCACTGCATTCAGGCAAAGCTACAGAAGAAACTGTAATTCCTGTTCCTCAACGCAGATGGCACATCCTGGACCAAAATCAACCCACGGAAACCACAGCAATGTGGGGTGCCAGGGCACTTGCTGGGAGGAGGAGGGAGGGATAGGAAATAGCACAGAGGGGGAATGCAGAAGGCCTCCAAAACTGTACTCAAGTAGGAGTTCTAGCTCCAGCTCCCCTCCCCACTTCCCCTTGGCACTGGGTAAATCCCACCAGCTTTTATGCCACAGCTGCTTTCAGCACATATTACAGAGTGCACTTCTTGTCACGGTATTATTGCGCAGCTGGGCAGCTCTCCCGCGAATCCTGTATGCCCTGGCTGTGATGCATGACTGAAATGTCATTCCCACAAAGCAGCAACTCAGCAGGCAGAAATCATTTAGTCCAGCAGATTTATACCAGTCCGGAATTTCACCTGGGTGTGTATTACACAGAAAACATAGCAAGAGGAGGGGAGAACATAATCAAACACAAACACTTGCCTGAACATGGAAGATAACAGGGCTGGAGAAACCCAACACCCAATGCATCTCAAGGAAAATGTTGTTCCTCAGACTGACCTTTAGCTAACTGTCCAGCAAGAGAGCAAAAAGCTTCTTTGTGCTTTACAAGCTACAAAAATCACCAGAACCACTTGCATTTTAAATCTATTAAGCTAAAAAAAAATTTAAAATCTGCCATTGTAATTCTCCACGATAATGATAATTAATGGAAAAAAACAAGGTTTACTAAGTGGAAGGTGCTATATTAGCATTCCAAAAGCACAGAACATTAGCTACTTTTTAATTAAATATTTTCAAAGAAGATCCTTGTATATAACTGCTATAATTTAGATGGAAACAATACTATACTAAATGTAATTAGAGGAGTGTGAATAGAGAGGGATATTTTCCTCTGAGCTGCAGAGACTGTTCTGGATCACCTGATTCCTAAAGCAGTAACTTTTCCCCACCCTTGCTAATAAAAAGTTTCTTAAGCCTGATCAACCATGCAGTGCAGCCTTCAGAGGCAGGGCTGCTCGTATGCAGAGCAGCTAGCAAGGAACTGCACCCTGTGGACGCTGCACACCAATGATAAATGCAACCCAGGTGCCTACAGAGCTTTTTGATTGACCAGCCAACATGATGAAGGTTACGTTACATTTCAAGACGACTCTGTCGTGCGTTTGAAACTTCTATGAAAGTAAGCAAACGTAAGGAATGAGAAAGAGTGATATGTTATCTGTGGGGCTCCACTGGACTCTCAGTTTTCCTTGGGAAGTGATGAAAACCTTCATCTTTCGTGGAATTAAAAATGAGCTAAACAAACCATCACAGGGAACAAACCCTGACAGGGCAGAATCAGAACTGCAGCTGTGACTAAGGTACGTGCACATGACCCCTCACCACCCTATCTGTTTTGGGCCCAATAGAGGGGGTTGGGCAGACAACAAAGAGCTGCAACATCTTCAAACTGCTAGTTTTCAGCTACCAGTAAGTGCTTAGCATTAAGTGCTCCAGTACGTACATCTGGGTTTCTGTATCCAGCGTAACTGATCTAGAAGAGCTATAAAAGGCAAGAGGAAGATAGTGTATGTTATCTTCTAATA